TGAGTTCCTTCCCCATTATTGGTAGGAAATTTCAGAGCATAATGAAATATTGATACAGCTGCACGAAACTTGTATAAAGCAGTCCGTCCAATGATGGCATTATATTGATTTTTAAGATCCATCACCTTGAATGTCTCCATAATGACTTTGGAAGCTTGTCCAGGAATTCCGAACCGAATTGGCATAGTAATTTCACCAAGGGTTGATGTTATTGTTCCATTAAAACCTTGTACTTGATCCTTACAGGCTTCAACTCGGCTGGATCAATTCCCATTTGTTCAAATGTACGCAGCATCATAATACTTGAATATGCTCCAGTGTCCACCAGCATACGATGTATCGGTATTCCACAGATGGGCGCCGTAATTATTAAAGGATCAGCATGAGGGTGAGCAAAGTAACTGGCATCGTCAACATTAAATGTTATTGGACAATTGTTTCGAGCATTAATTTTATCTCGGAGATCGGTCGTCAAAACAATTTTGCCCGAGTTAAAAGCTTTTCGAGCATACGCTTTTATCTGCCTCCGTGATTCAGACATTGCATTGCTGCTGTTATTGACCCGAGGTACATGGTGTGAATTGTCAGGATTATAATATCCTCCTCGATACATTGTTTCAGTCGAATCTCTTTCTCCTTGTTTCATCATGTATATTTCTTTCTCACTTGATCTCACCCGTTTTGGATTAATTGGACGTTCTTCATCGTCTTCATCGTCTGGCAAATCAGGCATTCTTCCTTTTCGTTTGTAATCAACGTTCTTGGCAAATCTTTGGACTTGAGGATGTCCAATAAGTCGCAACAAGGCAGAAAGTAAACCGAGGCACTCATCAGTGTTATGACCTGCCGACTTATGATATGAACAGTATCTCGTTTTGTCAAGTTTTTCTTCGGGAGTTCTAACAGGTCGTGGGTCAGGAAGGATCCCTTTCCCTTTTAATTCTTCAAAGATAGTTGCTGCTCCCGCCGAGAATACTGTCTGGTAACTAGATTTGACTTCATTAAGATATTTAGTTCTGGCTTCCTGCACTTCAGGGATCTTTGGATTCCCAAATCGAGACTTATTTGGTTTGAAGAATTTGCTTTTCTTCTTTTTCGACTCTTGCCCGACTTCCGACTTCAGCGATGAAAAGTCGATATTAGGAACCGACATTGATTCTTCAGCTAAAATATGCTGTTGAGCCCGAGCTAAAAAGTCTTGGAATGAAGTCGGTTTATTCTGAAATATACTCCATCGGAACAATGAGTTTGGCTTCAATCCGGCTATGGCTGTGACCAATAGCGTTTCAGGATGGCATTGCTCCATATTTTGTATGCGTTCGTTAAACCGAGTGATATAATCTTTCACACTTTCATCATCTTTTTGTACGATATTCGCGATCGATTCTTTGGGAATTAAGGATACTCGGGCCCCAATAAAATGAGAGCGAAAAGCCGTTCTTAACTGCTGCCATGTGGAGATTGAATACCGAGATAGAGAATGATACCATTTTTGAGCTCGTGGTCCCAGAGTTAAGGAAAACATCCGACATCTGAGTGCTTCATTCGCTCCATGAAGATCCATCCAAGATGTGTACTGACCAAGATGAGCATCAGGATCGGAAGTTCCATCATATAAGCCGATTTGCGGAACTTTCACTTTAGTCGGGATAGACTCTCTAGTTAAATGAGGAGCTAAAGGAGTTCCAACTTCTTGATACGTTTCTTCTATCATTGGAGTTCGTCGTGGTGGTTCTCCATGTTCATCTTGACAAGTCTCCAACTCAGCAATTCTTTTTCTTAACATTTCTAACTCTTCTGATTCGCGTCTTTAACGATTCCTTTCAATTAATCGACGTAACTCATTCTGCCCACGACGAACATGATTTTGTTCAAGAGTATGTCGTAAATCAGAAGGTTGATCATGTCGTGATATTTCTGGTAACGACGGAGTAGGCTGTCGTGGTCGATGTCCAGAATGGCTTTGTGCAGTTGCTTCTGATCGCACTGGTTCTGGAACTCGAGTTTGTACCGAAACTACCCCACGATTTTGAGTTGTAGCATCATGTTGTGATTCATGTGTACGTGGATGGGAAGTTGCATGTGATGTTGCAGGGATATTATTTCTTCGTGGAACTGGGGTTGAATGAGTTTGAGGATTAACCGCCGCGGTTGATTCTATTCTTATTCGTGCCATAAAATCAGTTAAATTTTTCAAGAATTCTGGATCTTGAAATAAGGCTGAATAGTCAATTGACGTAGATGGCACGGCAGAAGTTCCAGTTGTATGAGTTGGATGGCGATTGATTCCAGCATCTGGATTACGTTCATTTCGTCCAGAATTCGACATCTTTTTCGTATGTTGTTACAAGACAAACAATCAAAACGGAGGTTCAGCCCCTTCCTCTAGCGCCAAACTGTTGCTGTCTTGAATTAACAACTTCAAATTAAACACAGTTGATGTCAAGAAAACGAAGATAAATGTCTAATTAGATTTTATTGATTGTGTTCACAAGAGTTCAGAAGTCGGTTTTAAGCTGAAACCGAGATCATCTTATGTTCGTGTACCATGTGTTCGAAAAAGATCCTCGTACTATCATAAATTCTGCTATTTATAGTACGGTGGCTTTTGTCTTCTTGCTCGAAATGGATAAAGACGCATTTAATGTTGAGCTGCTTCTCTTGAAGCGGCGGGAAACATCAATGATTGCCTTTTTGTTTCGTTGGTCCAATCAGATGCTTATAATGATTACTTTCTGTTGAAATATTCAACTCTGTGCTAGTCGGTTGACCTGAAGTCGGTTTCGATCCTTTTAAAGGTCTTTCAGAAGTTGGATGTTTGGAAGTCGGTAACTACGTAGAAGTCGGTAATTTGATTTAATAGATGCCGACTTGGAATAAGTTCCATCTTTTGAGGAGACTATTTTGCCATTACTGTGATTAATCTTCATCTTTAATCTTGCAATCAAGTCGGATATCAACAACGTGATTATATTTGAAATAGTATTCAAATATAATTGATAAAATCAACCAGTGAGATGAGATAAAATGATTAAGCTGATTGGATAGACACACATTCAAATCCGATGCTTAATCGAGTGGTTCGTGAATGAAGGGACCGTATCACTATTGAGTTCTACACGAAAGGTTTGTTTGTTTGTCCATGTAAACGTACTTCATATTTTGAGTTCGTCCTTCGACGCAGTCTAGGAGTTTCGTAAGGATCATAAATTAGATTTATGTCAATATATGAAGGCCTATAGGGTCACACAATATGCAATCAGTTTTCCGGCTAAGAGTGAATCGAGAGTGTTAAATATTCAATTGGATTGAAATATTTATTTTTGAGTAATGAGATTATTTTCTATTTGATGGAAAATATTAATTAAGTTAAATTAGATTTACACTTAATTAAATTATTAATTAAAAAATAATTAATTAAGTTAAATTGGAATTATACTTAATTATTAATTGGATTAGGTCCAATTACCTATTGGGCTATAGGGATATGATTAGGTTTGACCTAATTATAAATATCTCATTATCTCATTCGTAATCTTAATCGATTAGATCGAATCATTAGATGAGAGAAGATGAGAAACACATCGTAAAATAAAACACTCTCTAGCTTTCTGAATCGAGAATTCCTAGCTTCTTCACCGGAAGGGATTCATTAGCGTTAGATCGTGCACCGGAAAACTAGATTGCGTGGATACCATAGTCGAGGACAAAAGACGAATAATTGTAAGTTTTTGTGTATCATTCACGCGATCTAGGATCATATCGAATAGCTATAGCCGGATCTTCATTGGTAAGAAAATTTTAAAATTCCGTTGTGCGTGCGATTGATTCGTACGTCGAAAACCCAACATATGCATGAGTGGGTATTGTATCTGCCATGAGCCCTGATAGCCCGAGATCAAGAGGGTGGCGATAGCGTCAGCATCCAGCTCAATCCAAATGTAAGAGGAGATAGATGTAGCATCTTAATTCTCCCCATCTTGAGACACACTATATCCCATCTTCAGCCACTTCTCCTCCATCCTTCCTATCTCCATATAGTTACACAACTAGGGCTGCACACGAACCTAGCTGGCTCGCGAGCGCTCGAGTCAAAGCTCGGCTCGAGTGGCTCGAGCACGAACACGAGTCGAGCTCGAGCCCAAATTTTGTCTTGTCGAGCAGCTCGAGATTATGTTAAGTTACTAAAATACCCTTGTACATATATGTAACATAATATTAATATATGTACTTAATGGTAATTTTACAAAATTGCTTGAAAATTTTCGAACCGAACTCGAGCATTTTGAATTCGAGTCGAACTCGAGCTATTGTATTTTTTTTATTGAATCGAGCTCGAGCTCGAGCTCGAGCAACTCAAAAAAAAAAAAAAATCAATCATGCTCGATATGGCCGACTCGGCTCGGCTCGTTTGTAGCCCTACACACAACCATACTTCTTGTAGTGTAATTGTCTATCGTGAATGATCATTCTATTGCTTTAGTTACCAACGCAGGTGAGGCTGACAACCAACATCACATGGTCACAAGGTCCAGGACAGACAATCTCAAGCATAACGCTTTTCTTGTGGAAGATTTGGACTCCCATGAACCTCAATCCCCTCAGCAGGCTTCGACACATCCATAATGGATATTTTGTTTGCAATATCATAATAACATTCAATCCATTGTATACATTATTTAAGGGGAGACATAAATTTCATAAATTTCTATTAAATTTCATAATTTTCTATATTCATTATATGTTAATTAATTATAAATTTGTAAATGTGATATAGATATTCAATCAAAGATCGTCAAAAGATGATTAATTCGATATATCATTTTTGAAAAACATAATACATATAAAAGTCATTGACTTTTAAAATATGATGTGAAAACAAATTTGTGTTATTTAAGAAATGAATAATTAATATCATTATCGTTTCAAATGGTGAGATTTGATTTGGAAATAAAGGGACAAAAATGAATGAATGCGTACTAAAAATGTAAAAAAAAAACTATTTACTTTAAATACCAAACTTGATTTCAAAACAATAACATATATACAAAATAAATTACGAAACACAAATTTTTGTCATGTCGCCACTCGCCATTCACAGTGTCCGACTGAAATTTAGGTTCAACGCATTTTGTACAAAGAGGGGAAGGGGATGACCCGCGATTCGTCTAATTGTTGAGTTGTAAGGACAACTGCATTTATGTTAGTGTCAGACACTCACATCCAACAAAATTGCAGTAAATTTCCTTTTCAAAACCAAAGCCCACACATCCAACAAAATTAAAGTAAATTGCTGTTGCAAACACAAGGTTTGGTTTGGTTACAGAATTTTCTGGAGTAGGTCATCCATAACTTACATACAAGGGCATTTTATGCATGAGAAATAATATGAGGCGCAAAAACTCACCAAAAAATCATAAGATGGATCAAACAGCAGCATTAGCAGTTGATTTGGCTATTGTTGTAGTGTCAAATATTTCAATCCAGTAGCCATCAGGATCCTTGATGAATGCTATGTCCTTAATCTTTCCTGGAATGCGAGATAGCATAGAAACTAGAATAAAAAATTTTGAAGTAAAAAACTTCTAGAAAGTAAACTTATACTGAATGATTATAGTAAGAATAACTAAAAAGGGAATCACATCAATACTGATTGAAGTAAACCATACTTCCAGACAATGTTCCCAAACTATTCTCTAGAAATATTAATGAACACTGAGAAAGTTCAACAAATCACGCCAATAAAGTGGATATACAAGTAGTGGAAAAAATATACGGAAGATTATAAAACGAATTTTACAAAGCTTAATAAAAGTTCTAATTTTATTAACTCAAAGATATGAAATATAGCAACCAGATATCTTCAACATCAGAGGGGGAAAACTATTTTACAAATTAGTGGGACAAAAAAAGTTACCATCATCAGGTTTTTTGACAAATTCAACTCCCAAACTCTCAAATCTCTTGCATGCCTTGTGCACATCATCAACAGTGATACCTATGTGTCCTGCAAAGAGGCAATTACATATGAAATGCTAGTCTACCAAATATCAAACAGGACTAAATATGCCATATAATCGAACACCCATTTACATTCAGACTATATTAGACTACATATTGAAAGAACATGAACCGTATCTGAGAACTTCTTGCAACAGTCGGTGAGCAGTTTATTTTAATACATAAGTCGAATAACCAAAAAACAAATAAAAAAGAAAAAAAGCAATTAACTTTAAAAATTATAATTAGGGATAACCCTATATATGCATAAGTATCTTCCATTTGGTAGATTTACTGAAACGACATGATTACTCTCCTTTTTTTATTTCCCCATTTTATATTCTGTTCTCCACATGTTTTGAATTGAAATTTCAAGTTTTTATATATCAGAACATAAACTATTTGCATAAGTTATGCCAAATAAGTGTGCCCATGCATAGAGTAGTTGAATCATGTACCAAAACCACGGGGTTCTGAGTTCCCATTGTGATAATTCTTGAAATCAGGATCATTTTCAGTACCCCAATTACTGTCATGAAAACAGCTATATGAGAGATGTGATCTAAAGATGT